GTCTTCTTATTCTTCAGAAGAAGAGATCTTGTCTGTGTCTTTGGACCACACCGCCAACGCCGTGGATATATCAAAGTTCAAGAACAAAATTTTCGCCCACATGGAGATTGCAAATGAGTTACTGATGATGCAAGTCGATTCAGCCAATATCCGCTGCCAGTAATCGAGGACATACTCCCAGAACTAGTCGATGTCAAGGTATTCTCGAAAGCAGACCTTAAAGACGGATTCTTACAGATACTGCTTGATCATGACCAGGAATCCAGTAAGCTAACAACGTCCCAGACTCCCTGGGGCCGGTACAGATATCTGCGGATGCCCTTCGGAATCTCCCCTGCTCCAGAATGTTTTCAGCGGAAGTTGGACCAAAATCTTGAAGGACTTGAAGGGATCTAAAAGGAAGCAGATGACATCTTAATTACAAGCCGTGGCACAAGCAAGGACGAAGCCGTGAAAAACCATGATGCCAATTTACTGAAGCTGTTAGAGAGACGCCGGGAGAGGAATTTAAAGCTAAACCGAGAGAAACTACAGTTGGAATGTACAGAGACCCCCTTTATTGGCCATGTACTGACGCCTGAAGGAATCAAGCCAGACCCTAGAAGGGTAGAGGCTATTCTAAAGATGAAAAGACCCAGTGATGTGGCAGCAGTCCAAGGATTGGTAGGCTAAGTCAACTACTTGTCAAAGTTTCTAAGCAAACTTCCAGAGCTGTGTGAACCACTAAGGCGACTCACCCACAAGGGCGTCCAGTGGAGCTGGTCAACCGAGCAAGAGAAAGCCTTTGAAAGCGTGAAGCAAACTGTTACTTCAGCTCCAATTCTGCGATATTTTAATTCCAGTAAACCTGTTGAAGGCCAAAGAGACGCTTCTGCCAAAAGTATAGGATTTGTGCTTATGCAAAATGGTCAACCAGTATCCTATTCAAGAAGAGCCCTCACTACAAGTGAAAGAAACTATTCTCAAATTGAGAAAGAACTGCTGGCCCAAATTGAGAAAGAACTGTTGATTAATCTTTGAAATCTTTGATTTACCTTTGAAAGTCAACCTTCTAGTCCTGTCCCAAGTTCCGATAACTAGTCAAAAATTTAAGGCTCAAGCTAAAGGTAAAATCTCTGACTGAAGATGCTATGCTATAGAAAGCACCAAACCGAACCAATAATTTTGGTTAACGTGGTTATTGGAATACTTCTTAACCTGCGGTCAAACCTGCGGTCAAACCTGCGGTCAAAACGCAACTTTTGGCAAAGTTTAAAGACATTTTGTTCATGGAATTCTGCGCCACCAAATTAAACTGAGGGTAAAGATGGCGCAATTGCATATTTCACGCTAAATTTGTCTAAGCCATCAATTTGTCTTAGCCATCTAAGCCTGTGACGGCATTTTATGTCTTCCTCTGCAATCCTAAGAGATACGTTGAAATGTAAAAACTTTGGTGCTCTGTCTTGACCACTTTCTAAGTAATAGCGGAGCTCCGGCGGCCCGGAGGGCCGCCAAGCGTAGCCCCATACTCATATGGGAAAGAAAAGGAAACTCATGAATGGATTTTGTCATGGTTTTCATGGCTAGCGGTATTGCTCGTGGGCGCCTACGCACGACGACGACGACGACGGCGGCGGCGGAGTTGCCCAACATGGCGGCCATACTCCAGCTAATAGGTTGACAGAGACATGCACCCTCGGTTTGTAACGGAAGAATGCCATTTTTCTTGGCGAGATATTTAAAGAAAAGAAAACTCATTTCTATTTGTTATGTCGACAAACGATGGCGGAGGTTGATCTAATGTTTTTAAGATTGGGTTGCATCGAAGCAAAACAAACAAAACAAAAACAAAAAACAAAAAACAGAAAGCAAGAATTAACAGGCAAAGAAGTAGCGAAGAAGTTCCCAAAAAAAAGCGGGCCAGCGCTGAGGAAGGAGGCGAAACAACACTGAACAATGCCGGGAATTAAACCGAGTCAAGGGCCAGAGAAAGGAGGTGAAATAATACCGAACAATGCCGTTAACCGAAGCTAACGAGGGTCATAGAAAGGAGGCGAAAGTACCCGACAAATTGACTCAGAAGACTGCAGTGTCAAGTTTTCAAAATTCGCGCGACGTGACGCTGTGCGTCACATGATTTGGTCAGGTGATGAACAAGAGAAATCAAACGTGTCCGAGTGTTTAGCGAAATTACAAAACAGTAAACACAGCGGAAAAAAGTGGTTGATTCGTTGATCTATCGAAAAGATTAGTTCAGTTCAGTCTTCACAATTTTTGCAGCAAGTTTCTGCCTGGAAGAGTTACACTGGCCGAACTGAATTGCCAACTTATAGCGGTAAGTGACTTTTGTTGTTGCGTTTGCTATGAAAATTAACAAGTCGCCTCGGCGATATAAGCTTATTTTCAATCGGAATCCTTTTTAAAGTCTTCCTTATTTGAAGCCATGCGGTGAGACTTTTTATAAATTACATCGTTTTAATTTCGCTCATCTCTAAACAATAACACGTGAATCGCTTTGTGGAGGTTGTTGTAAGTTGTAAATAAATTAAGTTTTCTGTCGGTTTTCGTCGTCAAATTTAGCTTATAACCTCACGTCTAAAAATAAACCTAACCAAAACCGTATTTGTAAACACGGCCGGGCGAGGTTTGAAGTTTTCTCAGTGTTGGTTGGCACAGCCGCCTCGTAGAACGCTAAAATTTCTTCTTCTGTTGTTGAAAACCAAGAAAGGTGTACAAACCGACAGAGCTGAAAAACGACTGCGCATGCGTAGGGCTTTGGCGGGTGAGTCGACGAGTGGTGGCATTTTCGATCGTTTGATCAATGCAAAGTTTTGGCGCCATTCGATGTTAATTTTTTGGACTAATATCATCCGAGAAAAATGGAGAAGATGGAACTTTCAATTTCATTTCAGTCAAGCAGATGTTCCTGATATCCTGAACATATTTCTGACTATATTGACGGTCTAAACACAGCAAATTCTAGCAGACATCGGTCGCAGCGCCATGGTGAGTAGTGACCGNGCGCATGCGTATGGTTTTGGCGGGTGAGTCGACGGGTGGTGGCATTTTCGATCGTTTGATCAATGCAAAGTTTTGGCGCCATTCGATGTTAATTTTTTGGACTAATATCATCCGAGAAAATGGAGAAGATGGAACTTTCAATGTCATTTCAGTAAAGCAGATGTTCCTGATATCCTGAACATAATTCTGGCTATATTGACGGTCTAAACACAGCAAATTCTAGCAGACATCGGTCGCAGCGCCATGGTGAGTAGTGACCGCTTTACGCTTGTTAAGTTTATTTTGGATACCACTTACAGTTTAAAAAAGTGTAAATTTCAACTACCTTGTCGTCAATACATCTATTCAAATGTGTTTGCTCTTGGTGTCTACTGTGGTTTCAAACGTTGGGAGATGGTACTGTGGTTTCCCTTTTGGTCTTCCATTATTTGCAACTGGGCGTTCAACCTGAGTCAAAAATTAAATTATGTGCCTGTCAGTAGTACATGTACATTTATCATGAGGAAAACATAATGTTAGTAATTCTGTTTGTTTGTTTGTTTGTTTTTCCATTTTTTAAGTCAGAGATGTTAACAGTATTCGTTAATTATATTTGTTTATTTTAATATTCATTCTATTGTTTGGTACATTTTATATCTATGTCTGCATATCCTTATCNCACATGAAATGGCCCTTGCTCTGGTATTATTCCAATGCTGGGATTCCATCCACTTGCTATTAGCTTTTTGGGATAGTACCATCCTGGCCAATCAGCAGGCAGTGGCAGAACATACTTCTTGCTGTACAGCTGAAGTTCAGGGTATTTATTAAGTACACGTTCTAGGGTTGTTTTGTAGTTGTCCATGCTTTTTAGATCTTGTTCGAACTCATCAATCAACATACATGTCTCCAGTGTCTCAAGGTCTTGTGTCGTTGGATCTGAGTACACCCTGAATAACAAATAAAAATGTTTTTGTTGCTGGCATTTCTATAACTATTGTTATTCTTGAAATGCCGATTTCCAATAATTTTTGGTTTATTGAAATTGCTGTACGCTGATGATATTCACTCTTTTGATATTTGTAACAGGTCACTAACATAATAAATTATACTGGCCTTAGTTCTCGCAGTGCTACCTGTAGTCTCCCTGGGTCAATGCTTTGCATATTTTGTGGTAGCTGGTCCAAAAACTGGTTTTGCATATTCATTAAGGCATTTGTTAGTATTTCCAGGACAGATGGGACATGTATTCCACCAAGGCAGGTCTTCTGTTGGCCATTTACATTGATCACTACTTGTCTGTGTACGGATGATGATGGGCGGGGTACTGCACTGACTGTGGGATGCACATCTGCTATACAGGATGCCATGTGTACC